TCTGCCGTACTCCTCTCTTTATCGTAAGACATAAAGGCTCCCCAAGGCGCAAGCTCTCGTCGCCAAGCTGCGATAGAAAACATATGAGTTATTTGTGCGGATAATGTGACAAGTATTGGTTAGCTTAGAATTTGGATACCCCCAACTCGATTGGTCAAAAGACAAAAAACGCGAGAAGGGCGTCATATTTCACGTCGCATACATAAAAAAAAAACTCTGCAAGCGTCTAAACAAACGTGCATCGTCTAATTTTGTGACGCGATGTGCGCATGCGCACTCGGCGAGGTGTTTGAAAAGGGGTGTTGCTATCCCCCGGGCGTGGAGGGAGTGTCACGTGATCAAAGTTGGACGATGACGTTCAAACGTTACACCTAACGGTAAACTCGTAACTAATCCTCAACACACGCTAACACTAACACACTCACAGTAAATATATATGTATCGCGCCGCGCTATATATAGGCATTGTAATCCACAAAAAAATTAATCTATGGTGTGGGAACAGAGATCATGCATGCAAAAACCTTAACCCTACAACCTAATCCCCTAACCCTAACCCTAACCCTAACCCTAATCCTAACCCTAACCCTAACCTAACCCTAATCGCTAACGCCTAACCAAGACCCTAACCCTGACCCTAACCCTAATCCTAACACTATCCCAACACTAGTGCTGCCACGTTGCGGTCACCTCCCTCCACGCCCGGGGGATAGCATTACCCTTTGAAAAGAGGTAGGACGCGGGCGCCTTGTTGGATCGTTGTGGGCATAGTTTGGGTATAGTTGATACGCTATACGAGATATCCCCTTACCGCTACGAGAACCGCATTGTCATTGCGATGAAGAACGAGCATCAAATTACACGAAAGCCTATAAACGACGAACACCTGATGACTAGGTTTACAAGCAGCTTTGTGTCTTTTAATTTAGTGTACGTACACCAACGGTTCGCATCAATTCTCTGCGCCCAAGCCATCTATATAATCTCGATCAGCTAAGCTCACTTGTTAAAGTGCGCTGGAGCGGATCGTGGAGGGGGGGAGGGGTGTAGAGATGTAACGTATTTTTGCGGTCTTTCTGTGGCGCACGTACTGATATATGTCCTGGTTGACGGTGATCTTGTTGTTAGGTAACTATGGCAACCCTTGAAGAGGGTTCGAAGAATGGCACATTGTAACTCGTTCGTTGTCGACTCAAACTACCGTTAGATGTGGTGCAATAGTAGTTGTGGGCGTGGTTTGTTCGCCGATAGTTGTGGTGTAACGGTACCTGTAATAGACGTGTGTGTGTGTGTATGTGTGTGCGTGCGTGCGTGCGTGCGTGCGTGCGTGCGTGCGGGCGGGCGGGCGTGCGTGCGTGGCGTGTTTGTACATGTGTGTACGGTACCTATGGTAGCTGTGCTGTTGTAACCGTATATTGGTCATCATGCAACGTGTTCTGCCCATCACAATTACAATGCATTTTAAATATTTTTTGTAACTTGATTTATACCTTGATGTTGTAATAGTCTTCGCATTAACGTTTCGCGATAGACGCAGCTAATTCGTGCCGTAGAATCGCGAGAACTGACGTAAAGCGTATAATCCATGCAAATAAGGCAAAACGAAGTTTGCTAATGATTTTTCGTCAGTGTTTTATACGGGCGCGACATTTACAGTTGCTGTGATTTGTTGCTGCACACATATGGTATTGCCCGTGGGCAACGACGTGAAACATCTATTGATGATCGATAATTACGGCAGCGGTTGCGGCTGCTCGGAGATGATTTGCGCCGCATTGTACGTGCGCTTTTCGTAGTTCGTTACCCGGTAGCTGCGCTGATGTGCTGGGAAATAATAACAAAGTGGATAGCTTTCGAACATAGGTGTCCTTGATTGAGTGAAGCCGTTTGTTAGGTGCATACGAAAAGGACTTGGTGTAAACTACGGGTGTTTGGTACCACCTAGTGTGAACGGCTAGGCAATCGCATGATATTCAATAGGCAATTAACTAATTTCATGAAAAAGCGGATTCTTGGCGAATTATCAGGGTATTAACCAAGGACCAGAGGCTCGAGACGATCGAATAGACCATTGTGATAATTTAATGTTATCTACCAATATATATATATATATTATATACGTGTGCCTTAGAAATGTTATTTGTGCTGCAATTTGCCGTGTTTCTGCCTGCGAGCGAGGTGTGTTTGATACAGTGATGTAACCATGTGACCATGGTTCGCTTTTAAGCTAAATAAATGGTGGCTTGGACATCTTGCCACGACATCTATATGTATGGTAGCTGTGCTGTTGTAACCGTATATTGGTCATCATGCAACGTGTTCTGCCCATCACAATGCATTTTTAACATTTTTCGTAACTTGATTTATACCTTGATGTTGTAATAGTCTTCGCATTAACGTTTCTCGATAGACGCAGCGAATTCGTGCCGTAGAATCGTGAGAACTGACATAAAGCGTATAATCCATGCAGCTGAGGCAAAACGAAGTTTGCTAATGATTTTTTCGTCAGTGTTTTATACGGGCGACATTTACAGTAGCTGTGATTTGTTGCTGTGATATTGCCCCTGGGCAACGACGTGAAACATCTATTGATGATCGATCGATCGATCGATGGATCATCGGCGATTGGTTAATGATCGGATAATTACGGCAGCGGATGCGGCTGCTCGGATATGAATTTTGCGCCGCATTGTACGTGCGCTTTTCGTAGTTCGATACCCGGTAGCTGCATGTGCTCACGGGCTGGGAAATGACAACAGAGTGGATAGCTTTCGAACATAGGTGTCCTTCATTGAGTGAAGACGTTTGTTAGATGGCAAACGAGAGGGACCTGGTGTGTAAACTGCCTGTAACCGTGACCTGACACCGTGTAAACTACGGGTGTTTGGTATCACCTAGTGTAAACGGCTACGCAATCGCATGATATTCTATAGGCTGAGATTAACTGATTTCATAAAAAAGCGGATTCTTGGCGAATTATCAGGATATTAACCAAGGACCTGAGGCCCAAGACGATCGAATAGACCATTGTGATAATTTAATGTTATCTACCAATATATATATGTATATTATCATACATACATACATACATACATTCATTCAGATAGGCTGTGAAACAAATGTGTCGGCCTTCATTAGTATAAATTTGTTCCGTGTTTCGCAAGTATGAACATCGAAATAACATAACAAGCACTTTTGAGAATAAAACAGGTAGATGGTGGGTTGGGCGGGTTATTTTGGGCCCTAAGGGTACATTCCCAGTGAACCTTACACTGTAATGTGAGTGGCAATTTATCTAACATGGGTGACATTTTTAATCCCTGTATATAAGAATAAAATGACCACGTAGGTGCTCTCAACGGTTACAATTGAATGGCGTGCCGAGTGTATTTCGCTGCGCTGCTACACTATAGGCCCCGGGTTCTGCTGGCCTCGTTAAAGTACCGTCATTTCGAAATACTCTCGCTATCGTCTCACTTTTACTTTCGTGGACCATTTTCAGCGATTCTAGGGGAGTATCTCCCGCTCTCTTACATTTACTGGTGCGTCTAACTAGCACCTCGACTCATTCCATTAAGACTATATTCCTTGAGTCGTCATGGCTTTGTAACAGCTATCCTTGCCTTCTGCGGCAAGTAAATGCGTACTTGACGCGCGTTAATAGATTCTGATTGGTACTATTCTACGTATTTACGTACGAATTCGGGCATTGTACGACGCAGTTTAGAAACTTGTAAGCCAGGCGGTGGTGGTGGGGGTGGGAGTTATAGGTAGGAAAAGTGCTTTAGTATTTTGCTAACACACTCGTGTATTATAAAACATGCGGTTTGAAAACTATAGTTTCTAGTTTAATTACGAAAATAGAAAATAGCTGCCGACACAAGATTGCTTCACTCACCCGTAATACGTATTGCAGTGTCCTTCATCCATTGCGCTCTTGCTTGCTTGGTCATCAGCGGTAGGCTCCTTATCCAGCCGATATCTCAGGTGCTGTCTCAGCTGCTGTGGTCTGTGACATGTTGTACTAGTGAGTCGTAATCAACCGTAGTCTGCATGTTCCGTGCGTTATCCGGCAAGTGCGCAATTTGCCGAATCTCGCTACAAAAACGTGCATTCCTCCGCCTTCTCCTCCTTGCGTCGTCGTGATAGATGTAGTCAGGCGTCCACTCGTAGCTACGTTACAGGCGTGAGTCGTTAGCAACCACGAACAACTTCACTTATTGATTACGCCACGAGAGATATAAAATTGTGACGCCAAACTGCGTTCACGCACCGGGCAACGGTTAGTGTCGAACTGGAAGCGGAGGAGAACAGAGCAACTTTTCCAGCGGAGAGTATACATCATCATCATCGTTCACTCGCACACGGACAGACGAAGAGATGGCGCGCTTCATTCTAACAATCGTCTGCGGGTTAGGCCTGCTCACGTTCGGTAAGAGAAATTACTATCCATGCTGGCTTTTTTGCTGCTTTGTCTTACAGCAACTAGCATCTCGCATAAAAATTGAGTGTTTGTGTTTTGCCCATGTGCGCTACTTGTTAGACTGCGTTATAAAATACATCATCGGGCCACAACTGAATAATTGTTTAAAAAAATGTTTAAAGCCACACATAGATTCTATCGGTAAGCTATGATTTGTGCTTTATTTTGAGTAGTGTTACAATTCTGATGCGCGGGTTTATTGAGATGCTTCAATCTGACTCAATACATCGTATCCCCTATCTCCTTCTACACCATCAAGTACCCATAATACCATGTAATATTATTACATGCTTTTGATCCTACGTTCAAAGTGTATCTTGTAAAAAACTTCAAATCTCGTCTTTAGGATTCAATTGACAAGAGTGAGGTGCCAACGATAGACTTTAAAAATAATAAAATCGTAATTTAACTATTGTAAATAAGTAGGAGTGTATAAAGCAAGAATTTTGCGCTGAAAATAAATATTTAGTGAAACTACGACAAAGCAAACGAGTGAAGGAAATTTATAAAAACTTTAATTCATTATTGTAAGTCGATGGTAGAGCATAGAGAAATAATTTTACGCTGAAAATAAATATTTAATGATGCCATGATAAAACAAACGCATGGAGAAAGGCGGCATTTTAAGGCGCTCTTTTAGTCGCAATCTCTAACATTAAGTGCGACGAAAGATCGCTCTCGCTCATTTCTGATGCTATAATTTTGCATCATGATGGTTTACAATGAAAAGCAAGAAAGGCGATTTCTGTAAGTACCTGCAACAACCTATGGTACCAGTGACCTTCACAAGGAGTGGCCGGGCAGTGCGTCCACCTCAGCGTTTCAGAGACTACAAGTGTTAGTTTAAAGCGACTAAGATCCGCTAAGGGCAGAATAATCCCTGGATCTGAAGTCCAGAGAGACCGGGTACAAGATGGCGTTGCGCAAAAGATGCGTTGTTCCCCGACCGCCGAAA